TAGAACTTTAGTATATTATTACATCGTACACTTGTTATAAAAGATCTACGAAAAAACAGGTTTAAAAAAATTTAGAGAAAAAGCAGTAATAATTCCCTATAATAATTACCCTGTGTATAAAATACTCTGATATGCGTAGGAATTGCGTTTCGCTTGGAAGCCTATATTTGTTCTGTCATACTTTAAACTAGAAAGGGTTTTACTATTAGTTAACTGCAATTACAAGTTGACTGCTATTATATATTATATATACAAATGATCCATCATCCAGTGGACTCCATTAATTCATAACTCACGGTTATAAAATGAAATGACTTTACCAAACTGTTAGAGATTATTGTTACATGATATAATTTGGAATAGAATAGAGAGTTATCTGCCCATAAGATATAACTTTTTCATGTGCATTAGTGCAGTAAGACTATATATTTACAGTTCAGTTGAAATCATTTTAAAAATGATTCATTGGTTTAGAGAACAGCCTTAATATAGAAAATTTGTCGTGCATGCTATATATTTAAAGTAATGTGTAATAGGTGTAAAAATATAAGTTTTTGTGAACTACACTTTAAAGAATATACTCTAACCACAATACTTAAGTTAAACTGATAATTTTGTTAGCGTAATTTAAGCTCATGTAGTAAAGAAAGTATGATTAAACCAACATAATGCGTCGAGTATAATTATTTTGGCCTGAGATTTAGTTAAAATCTGGTTAAATCAACCAAATTATTTTTCTAAGTGTACTTTTATTTGAAAACTGTTAATTACTTAAGTATTCACTTTTCTGGTATGACAAACTGAATGAATTTTAAGTTTAATTATATGCCCTAAAGGTCTTTTTTTTTACTGTCTTGACAGAACTATCATCCTTTAAAATTTGAGTAGGTTATTTAACACTTAAATGGGTCAGTCGTGATTTTGAATGATTTATGTATAATAATAACTAAGGTCTATTACTTTTTTGGTGATCCTTCAGTTTCTGCCTAAACCATTATATCATAATTAGTTATTATTTAAGGATGAATGGGTTGCAGCCTACATGACCAACACTCAAACCTTAACTTAAACCTTTAAATTTCAAAGTAGGGTCTTGGGAGGTACAACAATTCTTCGGATTTGTTTCCGAAATTTATATTTTTAAATATTACTTTGGAACAATTGTGATGACGATGTCTAAGATGGGAAAGTAAATTATATTAGTTTGTTGTTTTTAACAAATTTATTGCAACTTCATTGGCTATATATAACGGACAAAACCGTGTGGTTAGAATATTTTCATCTATAGCATATATGAAATATTATCTTAACTATATTTTCACATATGTATATTTTAGAGCGGATATTTTATACAACATTTTTGCAATGTTTTCCATAGTAAATATTTCAATAACATACGCGGTACTACGCACGTGACTCTTAATCACGACTTTAATACTTTCAATGGTATTTTAATACAATTTGGAGAGTTTGCTACAAATTTTCTTATCATAATCACCTTTAAAGGGCAAAAACTATAAATTTTACTCAATAATTAGACTATAATAGTAAGACGTTTGTGTTAGAAAGCCTTCCTATCAATTGCTTCGATTGCTTTCGCAATGGTCTTGTTAGTAAAACAGCTTACTTAGTTGAAGCCTCTAATGAACCCACGAATTTCGTCCATATTACAATAAATATTCACTGAAGAAAAATTTATTTATATGTAATTAAATGAAGTGAAAAGAAAAGTAGTACTTGTATCTTTTAAATCTTAACTTGAATTAAATTTAGTATTAAAATTTAATGGCAACGCTTGTCGGTCTACAGCAAAAGTCGTCGTTTTTAACACAGAAAACTTTGGCAATTCTTACAATAGAGAAAATACAATAGAATTCAAACAGACGATGGAAATGAGGGATATGACACCCACTTGACTGTTTTGACTTTTATGCCTAAAATATCCTTTTCTGCTTCTTATGAGTTTCGTTTTCTGTCTTGAATAGGAAATCCTCACTTCCGGTGTACATCGAGAGCGTTTGTAAGTGGCATGTAAGACCAGACATACAAAATGAATGGACTATGATTGGAAGCATTCCAATAAAATCCAGAGTAACAGCTGCAGTCAAAGCTATTAGTTGCATTACACACGCACTTGATTTAGTCAAATTTTTTGGAAATATTCCAAATATAAATTTTAAATTATTTAAGAAGAACTAAAAATATATACTTTAAATATATTTAACTGCTTCTTTGTTAAGTATTTTTAATTTATTCTATGGTTGCGTCTGAGACTAAAAGTCAGTGTTGTCAGAATCCAGACCTACATATATTGGTGCAAATTTTTTATATCAATGATTATAAATACATTGGAATTCATTGGAATGTTTTTTTCATTATTACTTTTTTTAGAGGTTAAGATACACCGCGATTAAAATAAATCTATTCTGTGGTCTTAATTTTCGAAGCTGTATATTAAGTCTTTAAATAAATTTGATCACCTTTTTAGGGTTTGTTATCTTCGAGTTCATGTGCAGAGTTTATAAGAAGAAAAATTCGCTATACGAAGTTTTGGGGAACTTGACTTGAATACTTGGGGATTTCGAAAAAGTTGAACATTCAGTGTTTATGGGATAGCACCAAAGTAAAGACTTACCCTTGTCAATATAATTGCTGGAAGTTTTAAAAATAATATTACGAATAAATATCAATAATTATGTTATTATAATAATTACATGCTATTATATATAAAACTATATATATTACATAAATATCTAATTATAGTATTTAAGTATTTATTTCATATTAAATGAAACGGTTGAGTAAGTATGTTACTTACCATACCAATAAATATAATAAATATTGCCGAATAAATGAAAGTAATTGAACACATTTTCAATAGTTTTTTATAAATATTTTTCATCTGATCTTCAATATCTTTCATTGTTTTCTTTTCTTAAACTGTATTCATTGTTTAGCTTTAGGTTTCTGCAAATGTCTAATTAAGTATCCGTCACAGAAAATAAGTCTATGAGATATATAGATAGAATTGCAGCTTTGAGAATGAAGCTAACTAAGAAATGTGTTTGTTTTTTAAAGTATCAAACTTTATCTTAAAATTAAAATATCAGTTTAATTCACAGAGTTTGTAGGCATCTGTTGTCTTAAGCAAACACAGAAAAACCCTTTTTTGAAAAACTTACATACTTCCTTAGTTGTTCATTATAGACGTGAGTCGTCCTTGGCCGCGTTGAGTAGTCTCCGCCAGCCAGCACGATCAGTTGCTTGCTGTCGGAGGCTGACTCTTTGTCTTCATTGAAAGGTATCTTTAAATGATGGGTTCCAAGCCCGACGCACAACTTCATATATCCATGTGGCGGACTTCGCTGCACTCATTAATTCACTACGCACGGATGATTGTGACTATGTGTCAGTTTGGAGAGAACAGTAGCAAGAATCGCGCTGGCATTTACCAGCGCTAATCAGACACTTTTCTTTGTGTGTTCATTCCCTCTCCCTCCCAGCTATGTATAGGTGTTTTGAAACAGCTATAGTATTAATTTGACAGATACGAAAACTAAGTTCTCAGCTAAGCTTTATCGGAATATAGCGTAGTGGAAAAATTTGCTTAGAATAGGCGAATTTTTTTATAGGGTGAAAATTGGATCACCCTATAAATAAGAATATTGATAAGCTCTTCACGGTTAGAACTAACGTGTGAAGTAACGTCTAAAACGTTTAATGTTTGAACTATCAAAGGGTTTATACATCGTAAAGTGTCATGTTTGCAGTTTGGGATACTATAGTAGTAACCAAACAGTAAAAGAATAATATTGAATAAATTTTCTTTTCATGTTTTCATACATAAACATTTGAAATAATATCAAGAACATAAGTATAATATATAAAGTTATCGCTTCTAATTTGACACACACGAGTTCTAAGCCTACCACTTGCAGTCCAAACAAATTATATACGAACTATAACCTAATTAAAAAGTTATAATATTTCCTAAGACCACTGATGATGAGTACTTGGCAATACTCGATAATAAATAAATAAATTTTTGTTGTTGTCTTTTCATATCTATTCGAACCCTTCTAACTTTTAAATAGTTTCTTTTCGTGATAAGACGCATCATACTCGGCAAGCAAAAATTAACATTATGAAGCATTTATTTTAGTATAAGAGAAAAAAAAATCATTATATTAAATTATAATCGTCCAAAGGTCGTACATTTCTGTGCTAAACAATCTATCAAAGAAGGCGCGAATGTTATTCTCTGAGAAATTTCACGAAGTCTCTCATATTTTAGGATATATGTGGCGTTATTATTCCGTGGTATTACCTTTCATTATAAAATAATAACTTGGCTATGTATTTATGGGGATGGCCCTTTGATATATGAATTAATTTTAGCTATACTCTTGTGAATGGCTTCTAGTGCTGCTAGGTTGTTTGCTGGTATATAATATTAAGAATTATACTCGTGACAGTTAATAGCCATTCTGAAGTATCCTGAAGTATGTTTTAAACGTAGTTAAATAGGCGTAGGTACTAAAAGTTCAAATGTAGGCATGTGACCGTGGAGAAGGGTTATATTATGGGAGTCATGGAGATTTTAAAATTTAACTTCGAATAAAGTCTTTTGATGACAATATTGTCTAACCAATTATATTTTGATGATAACAATTTTTTATATAAAATATTTTTCGATTCCTGTTGCCAACATCAAAAAAATTGATAAAAACGTTTCGAATACTGCAATTAAAATTGAAAATGTGCAGTTTTTTTAAGTAATTTTCACTGAATTTACAATGCAAAAATTGAAATCAGATAAATATTGAAATCGGATAAAAAATTAAACAAAATCACAATCAATTAAAATTATATAAAAAAATTTTGCATTCGGCAAAAAATGTATCTTTTGTTGATATACGTTCCATATAATTTTTTTTTTTTTTTCCATTTTGATGAAATCCAACCGAGATAAATGCTCAATTACATCGCTTAGCTGAACAATGGCTAATTATGGCTTTGTACTTGCTCAATTATCTGTCAATAAACCACGGAAGCTTAAAAAATGGTTTCGTATTAATTGCAAAATGTTTAAATATTGGTTTTAATATTTTTTATAAATGTTTTGAATTTGGTTTTTGTTGTTAGATTTTGTTTATTCGACAAAACTCCCCGCAATCAATCACCGGTCGGACCCTCTAGCAAGATGTTTACTTTTCGGTGTTTTTTGTCCGCGGCTATAGTGTTAAGTTTTAATATCCGAAACGGTAATGGGGCTATGAGTTACTTGCAGGAGCATTATCCCGCATCAGTTATCGAGGATACGCAACTTGATACAGTATGTAGTTAGCCCTTAATAATCTGACATTTCTAATTATTCATCATTTTTGTAGGCACAACTTTTAAAGAAGTACGGCTACCCTTCTGAGACACATTATGTCACCACATCAGATAAATATATATTGTGCATGCATCGCATTGCGAGACCAAAAGCACGTCCACTGCTATTAATGCATGGCTTGACTGATAGCTCAGCCACTTGGGTATTGCTAGGACCGTGGAGTAGTTTAGGTATGCGTTTTGACAAGTTAATGTTATTGCTAAAGTAAGTACTACAGTTTTAGGCATAACATTAGACTTTAAATGTTCGAATTTGTTTGAGTTGCATTGCGTGAAAATAATTAAACTGCACTTTTAGTGTATATACTATATATGTATATATATATGCGAACTCGAATATTCGTCTCAAACACTTTAAATATTTAAAAACATTTGTGCTGTGAAATTTATTTCAATTGCACTTCAAATATATGCGCATTCGAACATTTGGTTCCAATGTTCGAAAATGCTTTACAAATTCTATGCTATGCGAATTCTAAAATTTGCCTAGAACACTCGAAAACGCTTGAATTGCACTTGGATTATATTTAAATTTAAACATTTAGTTCGAATATTTATACTGTTCGAGAATACTTAAACATTTTCGATTAGTAAATCTGGGGTAACTTTTTCAATCCTTATTCACTTTTAGTTAAATTTTTATTTTCGTTTAGTGTATCTCGAGCGGAATACATAACACTCAAGATGAATTTATAACACTCTAGATTATTTGCCAGAGTAGCAAGATTACCAAGACCGGTCTAATTAATTTTGACATGTAATTATAAAAAATATAAAAATAGCGAATTTCTACAAATATTTTCGAAAATGTTAGATCACCTTAAATAGAATATAGAAAACAGGGATAGAAATAAAAAATAGAATAAAATAAAAGAATATTTGATTGGGCAACAAAATTTGACAGATCGAGAGCAAATCTAGATTGAATCCAGATTTAACAATCGAAAACGCTATTAGTTCGAAAACTTTAACTGTTCGAAAATGCATGAGTATCACTTTTTGTAAGCAACGATTGAATATATTTCTTACGAGCAGAAAGTATTCAGTGCTTGAGTATTTTGATCCTTTCTTTTAAACTCTGTAAAACAAATTAAAATACTTACTTCACCACTTGGATTGCAAAATGTTCAGCTGTTGAATATCAAAGTTAAGACTCATTCAGATATTTTCTTTCTTTTGAACTTTTACAGGTTACTATCTTTATGATCAAGGTTATGATGTTTGGATGGGTAATGTACGAGGAAATCGTTATTCCCGAAACCATACCATTTATAGTCCCGATAAAGATCGTGATTTTTGGAGTTTTTCCTGGCATGAAATTGGCTACTATGACTTGCCAGCACTAATCGATTATATTCTACAACAAACGGGCTATAAAAAATTGGGTTACTTTGGACACTCACAGGTGAGCAAGAGTGTTTTTTATATAAATTAAAAAAATTTGTAATACCAGTATAATTATTTATATAGGGAACTACATCATTTTGGGTGCTTTGCTCAATGCGTCCTGAGTACAATGAAAAAGTTAGTGTTATGAATGCCTTGGCACCTGTTGCTTTCATGAAACACATTAAGGCCCCTCTATTGGGTTTAATGCGTCAACTATTAAAAATATCTGGTGACATAGTACGTGAGCTACTACCTCACACTGATATTTTACTCACAAATTGTTTTCGTTCGAGTGCAATGCTTAACACTTGCCTCGATTATTTCCATCAAATTGTCGGTAAGGAGGTCAAACAGTTAAACATGGTTAGTATACCGATTAAATTTCTGTGATTAGCATATATTGTATGAGGAACAAATTTTAAACATTTCAGACCACAATGCCAATCATATTTGCTCACGTACCCGCTGGTTCGAATCGAAAGCAATGGGAGCACTACCTTCAACTTATAGAATCGGATCGTTTCTGTCAGTTTGATTATGGCGCTAAAGAAAATAAAAAGCGTTATGGTAAAGCACAACCACCGGACTATCCTTTGGATAAAATAACTGTGCCAGTGGGTTTGTATTATACATACAACGATTACCTTTCCAGCGAAGTCGATGTGCAGCGTTTAGCAAAGACACTCCCCAATGTAGCGGCAGATGTTTTATATCCACATAAGAAATGGAACCACATAACAATGGTCTGGGGTATCGAGGCTAGACAATTGGCTCATAAACAAATGCTAGACATATTGCAAAAGTATGAAATTGATTAACAACAGAAGAAGAAGAAGTTAACACACTATGACAAAGAAAAAAAAAAATAAAACTGAAAAATATTATTATTGACTTGTTGTGTGATTGTGGCTTTGAGTCCATAACTTGGCTTAAACGATTATGTGACTATTTCATTTGTGTTTTCTGCGGTTAGCCAAGTAATTCAGTGATAATGCGGTTTACATTTTATGAACATGAAGTCGAATCGAGCAATTATAGTGCTCTGGTAACAGCAGTGAGGAGTCCTGCAATGTGCCACAGGAGACGAATGTCTATTGTTTTTGCTAAAAATATTTCGATAAAGGCTAGTACATTTTGTTCTCAGTGTTTGGACTTGAAAATCTTAATGAGTGCCAAAACAAAATTTTTGATAGAATAATTTTCAGATACCTTAACGATAATTTGTGCATCTCGCTCGAAGAACTTTGAGGACTTTAATTATTTTAAGTGCTGTGGAAGTATTGTGTAATTTTAATAGTTCTAAAGTTTATTTTCCATTAGAAGTGTAGTTTGTTATTGAAAAATTGTCTAAGCAAATTTGTTTTTATTAAATTTTGTAGACTGTTTATTTGCTTTACGGAACTGCAAGTATCCATGAATAACACTGCCTTGCTGTCCAGAGTTGACAAAAGAGCATGGAAGAGTGAAGGCACAATATGCTGAACCTTTTAAATACTGACTGACAAATAATGCAATTTATAGCTGTCATCACATGTACAAACTGCAATTGCAACACACATTTCACTATGGATTGAGAGAAGTGACGGAAAATAGTGCAATGCAGTTTAGTATAACAAGTATAATAGTATCTTGTCAAGGTTTGACAATATATTTTGACATGGAAACATATTGTAATATTTGAGTTATTTTGACGTTCGACAGATAATCTTTAGTAGTTCCGATTTTACTAGTCACTGCAGCTGCTGCCTCCACTAAAAAATCTCCATCTTGCAATTTCAATTGACGTTTTGCTAGTTACACCATTACATCTCTTTTAATTACTTAAGAGAAATGTTCATTAACTTAAGTAAGACTAAATCATCCATTCACTTAATTGAGCATATTTAATCCTCTATCTGAAAACATTTTTGCCTGTATTTACCCTTCTAGTTTTAATTTTCATTAAAGATTTAAGCTTATAAGTATGTATTATGATTGCAGTAGTACTACTTCTGAACAATTGGTGAGATAAAGCATTTTCAATATCATTTATATGTTACCTACCAACGAATTTCCTCTGTCCCCACTAATCACTCAAACAGGAAAATATACCAGCACAATAATACAATATCTAAGCTCATCATTTCACATCTTTCGTTCTATTTAATGACAAGAATAATATCGGTTCGTTTCTTCCTAACGCTGAAGTCATCCTTGTTAAAGCAAAGAATGAACCTCTGTTTGTATTTCATATCGGACATACAACGGCGGACTGCTTGCGTCTCATAGTGGCGGCATCATTTATTGCAATTTACTTTAATTTCTTCACCACAGCAACCGTTGCTGTTGTTAGTCTTGTCGTCCTTCATGTTTCAGCGGCATCAAATGTACTTTGCCTAACCTAAGGGAACAGAGTAAGTTCCCTTACTTACTACTCGCACACCATTTGCTTCACAAGTTTGGTGTGATGGTGTATGTTTTCGATATGGTGCAGTACGGTCTTTAACCTGCTTTCCACTCCCACCCTTAAGCATGTAGCGTGCTGCACTATTAAAATATTCACTTACGAATCCTTCACAATCTCTTCTTTGTTGTTCCCAACTTAACCGAATAATACTTTTCCATCGGCGGTTGGTTACTTTTATCCTGAATTCTATTCATTAGCCTTAAAGAGCTCGTATGCGTTTAAGAGTTGCATTTGGCAGCCAGAGATTTCATTTGTAGTTTTTTTTTTGTTTTTGCCAAAATCCTTAGTGGGCCACTCCAAAACACTTAAGATTTCAAAGCATTTCGAAATTATTAGAAAGGGAACAAAACTAATCACTTAAGTAACACGTGTGTACTTAACTTGTATTAAAGAGGAGGGGATTCTATTAAAAAGTAGATTCGATAAGCAGAACTGTGCGGTTATAGAAGATCCATGATATAAATATATTTCAAAGTAGAAGTAAATGAATCCATTTATAAGTATTAGTGCATTTTTAACAAAAATCATTTTACTAAGTTCTTGAAATTTGTGAGATAAGTACTGCTGTGGGTGAGATTGTGCCCCATCAGTGCGCTCAATGTCATACTTCATTTGTTACCTATTGATGTTTATATCAAAAAAGTAGCTACTCTCAGTACATAAAGGCTTAAAGACTTAAACTGTTGGTGCTCGACTGCGTTCAGACATGGTAGCATTCGATTAATTTCTCCGAATACTGAATCGGATTACTTATGTCCTCGCTTAAACTTCGACGATTACCTTGCCACTAGCTGCTTTCAACGTTAGAAAAGGCAGCGATCCTGAGCATTCAAATAAAGTAGGAAATGAGCGTATAAACGAGTCAATCTATTTCAAATGTAAAACCTTTGACCTGCTGCACAGAATTAACTCAGAGGTATCTAGGTTAATATCTGTTAATCTAATCTGCAAGATGTTAATATTAACATCTGCAAGATTTTAGAACGAATATAAAACCCTATATCGTAGGCAGGGGTCACTGTTGCTGAGGTAGAAAAAATAAAAAAAAAGGATCGTGCATCAAATCCCAGCGAAGCAGATAGCTGGGCCATATAATATGAATTCTTGTCGATAGAGCAGTGAAACAAATTTAGATTTGACTGCTCCGAGATTTATTAACCGACTGAAAAACTGGCAGGATGGAATTATTATCCGGACTATTATGCTAAGGAAGAAAAAAAAGAACTTGAGTGATAGAATATTATTGTATTATTTTTAGGTTGTGTTCGATTATGGTATAGGTTGTTATTTTTTTTTTTTGGGTGTATTTGTTTTTTGAGTTTAAAAGTTCAAAAAGACTCAAATTTTAACTAAAAACTAACCAAAATAACTATAGTTGTAACTATAGCGACTTTAAAATCAACATCTGGCAAATTATGTCCGAACTATTGTCAGCTATTGGCGAACACCTTATTGAAAATGATCTCAAAAGAACCAAATCACGTAATGTCGAAATTCAAAAATCTGGATTATTGATCGATTCAAAGCTAAAAAGGGTTCTGAGGTTAAAGTGTATTTTAAAGAAGTAAACGTTGAACACACTTGCCTATGATACCACATGCAATCTATCTTCTAAGCTGGACTTTTCGTAAACCCTTACGTTATTGAATAAGTTAACCTACTCAGTTAGAGAGTTGACTGGAGAACTACTTAAATCAAACAACGAAATCATCAACGTCATAAGTGCTTCAGTGCTAATTTATTGCGCTCATTATATTCAAAATCCAACATTTTATATTATCTTACTTAAACAACAATACAGCTTTTTTAAACCAGACATATCATAAACATATTTTGATCGAAAAATAAATTGAGAACTTTTTTTTCTTCTTAGATATTTAAGGTGTTTAACTTAATCCTTAACACGCCACTTCATTCCTTTCAATTTAGCTTCATCGATCATACATTATGTCTAACATTATAGAGTCAAATCCATTAATTCTTCGTTTCTGAAAGGCACAATAAAGGAAAAGAGCATACAACACAAAATGCTTCACATATGTGACAGACGATTTGGCTGCTTTGATTAATTTGCTTAAATAAATAACGGACGGGGGACTTTTTCGGTATGAAGGCGGGATGCCAGATATAATATCAGCCGGGTTGTTATCACGCTCCGCAATAGCAGCAGTTTCAGATCTGTACCACATGTTTTGATTGAGCGGAATACGCCTTCTGTTGGAATTGCGTTGGCGATTCATTAGTTCCTTTAGTCGTTGTAGTCTGTATCGTGTACCTCTGACTAGGATTGATGTCCTAAAGGTTTGATATTATTTTTACGAATAAATTTTGATTCCAACTTTCTGCTTTAAATATAACTGTACTTATAAATAAAATTTTTTTTTTGTTTAATAATATAAATACTTTTGACTTGTTAAAGTATTCGCCTACTATATTTAATTTTTTTTGAAGAACACAATTCTCAATATCAGTTCATATAAATATATAACTATGTATTACAAACATCGTTATCTATCTTGTGATTCCTGAAATTCATGTAAATAAAGCAAATGTCGTGTGTTTTATTGGTAAGTTTAAATGTCTTATATGCAGGTAACTATCTAAGTCTGGATTATAACTAGTCCAGCAATAGAAATTGGAAGATTTCTTACATAAAGACTGTTCTTATAGTTACCCCATTTTTGCGTCTTTTTCAATAAAGAGTATGAAACGCGGTCACTGTATAATGAAGTCATTATGCATTGAATTCTAGTGGATTTAGTGACCATTTGATAATTGGATGTAGTTTTCCCCACCATCAAATGAAACAATTTTTTGTATCTGAAGAAAATATAATTCGAAAAATTATCATCCATATGCTATCCGAGCATTATATTGGTTAATGTTCTAGGTATACATTACATGATCAACTAGCTGCAGTTGATATGTTAGCTAAATTTTTTAATGATAGAGACGCAAATCTAAATGCATAATACACCTTAATGTGCCATTTGAGTATTAGTACAGACACGTAGTCATCTGCGGAGAGGGTTTAACACCACGATTGCCTAAGTATGCGTTTAGATAAATACCACATTGGAATAAATTCAAATGATACCAATTCAAGTTATGTATTTGGCTATAATTTCTACTTGCTGAGAGCGAGATTGAACTAAACCTTCGATATTCTTTAGATCACAGTACCCGGTTGAGAACTCAAAGCATAAATGCTAACATTCTTCCTATGACGGGAATAAACACAGTCACTATAATACCACCTTTCGTAGCTGGGCATCTGTATACCATGGTACAAGATACATAGCTCTGGTCGGACGTCCTAAGTAAGAACTCATAAGCTACTAGTTATACCCCAAAACAGTATAGAATAGCGCC